CTTGATTGTGCTACGTTGCCTGGTGATGGGGAGATTTTGGTGATCGGGGGGAGGAGAGCAGAGGAAATAATGGGAGGGGAGGGGCTGGAAGGTTTTTGCAGTTGCTTTGAATGAGATATTGTTTGGTGGTGGAACACAGCTGGGAAACATCAGGACACGTAGACTCCCGTGAGCGTGCGCACACAGTTGTGCCGAAAAGGGCAGACACAGGAGCATTCATATGAAGTTACTGCTACTCTTCAAAAGGAGGCTTTGCACTTTCTCTGTCTTTTGCTCTCATTTTTCACCTTTCTTCCTGTTACTTTGCTTTTTTTTCGGTAAAGCCCATCCATCTTTTTTTTCTCTTTTGCATTATTTTTTTTTCTGTGACTCTTTCAAGGGGTTACTAGTGAAGGGGTTGGGGGGTTTTGGGGTTGCAGACTTGGACAGCGGCGGCATGTTGTGTGGCTGATGTCATGGGAGAGAGCTACAGGCTTATATAGACAGCCACTCACTGGTCAGCACTGAAACCTGAGTCGTTGCTCAATTTCACCCTTCTTAACTCTGCTATTTCTTTGTGTGTGGGGAGGGCTGCGGGTGGAAAGCGGAGACACACTGATTTATCAGCCTGGCCGGCGAAAGTAGTTTTATGCCAGCCTATCTCCAAACATGTGTGGTTTTTGTCATAATATTCGCTGTAAGCTCAGTGTGCTCCACGCCTTGTAATGTGAACCATGTAATGAGCTGACACACACAAAAAAAGTCACCCATGAGAAAAGGCGAGAGAACAAGGGAGGGCATGTGAGGTGTCTTATGTGTACAGTATTTACACTGAGTCTCTGCCATTAATGGATATGCTTCTCTCATCATGTCCTTGTCCTTTCTTCCCAAAACAGTGTCAACCTGAGTTTCTGCATATCTGCTGATGGGAAGCACCTTCCAAAGAACTTAGGTGAGCCAATTTTCCACATCTGCATTTTATTACAAGCAAGGAAACTGTCAAATAGCCACCAGTGGTAATGTTTTAAATCCATAACAGTCTGTAGGTTAAAGTGTTTTGGCAGCTAATGCAGATTTTCAGACTTTGTTATGACAAAAAGGGAGTGCAGCATGCCAAATGTCCTTTGTGATCCACCTTGAGTGATCTAACCTCTTCTGCCCTCAACATTTTTCCTCGTTACCTCTTAGTTATCATCTCTTATTAGTCCCCCTCAGTACACAATAGCTCTATGTGCCATTGACGATGTTGTGTGTATTTCAGAGTATTTACGGAGGTCCTTTTCAGACCTGTCGCTTTGTGACTCTAGAACATTCATCACACCATGAATGGTCATTTGTGTGTGTTATGCGTTCCAGATTTCCAGGTGGAGGTGCAGCTCGATAGTCATAAGCACAAGCAGAAAGGTGCAGTGAAGAGGGCTCTGTTCTTGGATTCCCAGCAGCCTTTGCTCCCGATGACTGTGAGGCTGAACCACGGAGAGCGAGTGTGCCAGCATAAAAGGATCTACCTAAGAGTAAGTCCTCTCTTTCTCTAACAAAAAATGACATTTAAGCCTGTGGGATGCTTAGAATCATTATTGAAAAACTGCAAATAAGTGAAGTGTAACTAATAGCTGTAGTCATTTTATAGTTGTGTTTCTGTGTCACTTTTGAACAGCCAAATTGCAAAGTGGTATGACACAAAATGTGTTTTTTTCTCACTGTAGGATGAGAAGGAGTTCAGAGATAAACTCTCCTCTATTTATGTGGCCTTGAACTTCAGCTTGGATCCAAAAGCTGCAGCTGACTCCCACGGCCTGCGGCCCATCCTCAACTATCAGACCACACACGTAATTGAGCAAAAGGTACTTTGACGTGAACTACACTTCTATCAGCTAGGTTAATTAACCTATCTACAGAGCTGTTTAAATTATTATATAGTAAGTTCACTAATAATCTGGATATGCGACTGAGATTCCTTCAACTCATTCTCTCTGATCTCTCGATTGCACTTTCTGCCATCATTCAGTAATCACTGGCCAACTCCTTACTGACTCTTCTGTTCATGATGAAAGTGTGAATCTTTTCTTTGTCGGCTGGGAAGAGATCCAGGGTGTCTGGAAAGTTGTTTTCAAAATGAAAATGTGAGACACATGTACAGTGGCGTGTTTCCTTGTCCCAGCAGGAGTTGCTTATGGCCTGCTTAGCTACTGAGGTGAATGTTTTCAGAGCTGCAGGCACAGAAGGATGGTCAATATTTCAGGGAGGGGCACGGGCAGAATGTTGGCCCCTGTGGTTGAAGTGTCTCAGCATTTCTACATGAAGGCATCTTTTCAGCTGTGGCACAGTACGCACCATATGTTTAATTCAGCAACAGCCACCAGATTGGAGCATTAGGGGAATAGCAATCAGTCTAGTTTGATCTCCGTCTCTTTCTTTTTTGTTCTCTGCCCTTGTGTGTTTCTCTTTTTTCCTTTTGGACCTTGTCACTGCTCTTTTTCTTCCTAAATATCAAAGCTTTTGGGCCTCCAACAGATGTGGTCTACTGCTGTACCAAGACCTTGAGACAAGCCTGAGAGAAAGAATTAGCCATAAACCTGAATCCGTTCTTTGAATGTATAAAAGCAGAGTAGGAGTGGTGTCAGACTGCCAACAAATTTAATTAATTTTGCTTTACTGTGTATGAATATAACGGTATACAAACAGAGTATGGTGACTATTATACCACAGCCTTGGCCTAGAATAGATACATGATGCCCTCTTGATTTCCACACATGCTTTGAGAATGTGTGGCAGGCGATATAACAGTTCATAGACTCTGCCAAGTTCGTACTCTCTCAAAGTTGGAGTGCGAATGAAAGGCAGCTGACGCGCCGAGCGCAGTCTCACTCTCTCATCCTAACATTTTCCACATGTATCTGTGAAGATTTGTGTCATTATGATGGATCTATTAATTGCTATCGCATCGCTCGTCTTGCACATAGCATGCATTTGTATGCATGCCAGTAAAGATTCAAGTTGCAGCCACCTTTGGAGATCTTGGAACCGGCTGAAATTGTGAAACAATGCCCTCCTTGTTCTTAAAACAAAGTCATCTGACAAATTGAATATGATTTTGATGAATGTGCTGCCAAGGTTGTGTTTTGTTTTTGCCAAATGATACTTGGACTCATTATGTCACATGCTGATGTCAGTGTTGATGTTGTTTAAGTACAGTAATGGTGGTACGAATGTTGTTTTCCTGCCCCAAACAGACATATGAGCTGGGGTGCATATGCGGCCAAGTTAGCATGGCGGTTACCATGGTGTGCATAATTAGAGCTCCTAGATGGTGTAATGACAAGAGGGGTTCTTGGCTCTCTCTAATCTTCTCCTCTATTTCTATTTATTGTCTTTATCGTCATGAACATCATCACACTGTCATAGTCGCGGCGAGATGCAATTTAGCAATCCACAGGGCTTTCCCTGCCACACGTTCAGCGGTCATCCACTTATCCGGCAGTGTTTCTGCTCCTTTCTTGTCTTTCCCTCCACTGTAATCTCTGAACCATCCCTCCTGCTGTCAGGTCAACAGAGATATCTTGTGTCTCAGCAAGTTCCTTTAGGCTGTAGGCTTCTCCCCTTACATTTGATCATGCTCCACAGTGGTGTAGTGTGTGGTGAATGTGCGGTTTACCACATAGCGCTGTGATGTGGGACACTGGTTAAAGTTGGGAGCTGGCTGCTTTGTGCTCAGCTCCATAGGAGTATCTTCTTTTGTACGGGCTCTGATCTGCACCCTGTTTATAATCTCCCCCTGTTTTACATTGCAAACAGAAAGCACGTGCGTGCCTGGACAGCTGGCTCATCAGGCTGTCTGTTCCTGTCATGACCTCACTGAGGCAGTTATTGTCTCTGTGTTTTTAGCTGTCTGATGTGTAGTGATGATGTCTTGTAAATAAGAGGGGTTGCAGTCCAGGTGTGTGTGCATCTTGGGTGGTGGTCCAGAGACAGGTGGTGGAATATATTAGTCATACTGCATGTTGCATCTTGCTTTACTCATCTTGTTCTCTTCCTTAAACAGATCTTGTGATTTATCTTGTGCACCTAATTCTTTTCACGTGTAGAATAAGTGTCACAATCTACTGTGTGATGTTGGCCTGCACCCCTATATTCAGACTTTTGTCATCTTCAATTTGTATCTTCTAGGCGCAGATTCTGTTGGACTGTGGAGAGGACAACATCTGTGTTCCTGACTTGAAGCTGGCAGTTAGCGGGTGAGTCTTTTTCCTTAGCTGTTGCTAAAAATCCCAGAGCATAGGTTTGAGAAAATAGAATAAAGTTCAATGGATATTACACAATGAACCCTGAACAGGATTACAGACACTGAAACTTTCACCTCCGCTATGCAAAAAGAGACCCTAGAGCATGAAAACAGCTGTTATTCTTGTTCTCTACTTTTTGTTTAGTTTAACAAACCACAGTGTTAATAGCTACAATTTTGCAGTACAGTAGGGGCACCAATCGTTAAAAACAAAACAAAGCAGGAAATAGCTCAGCTCCACAGGTGCTGTGACAAACGCTAAAGGGGGAAAGACAGAAAAGATGAAAGGAATCTGTTTGCAAGAGGCCCAACCCTGTCTTCATCGCCATCCCCGCTACACTTTGATTCGAGAAATCTGTTAGCAGTTTTCTCAAAAATAACTGCCTCCCTGATACTCCCTTCTCTGCTCTGTCATTTTGATTTCACATTCCTATATTTATCTACCATCTGACCCCATTTTTCCCAATGTATAACTTATCTATTACATATGGAACAACCTGCTGGGATTCTGCTGCGCCCCATCCGATAGAAACCCAGATGCAGAAAGTGTGATTAGTGCAATAAAACTAATACTTTGTTGATTTTCGTCTGCTCTGCAGTAAATTATGGCAGCCTAATAGTTGTTGGAGGGGGTGATCAGATGGTCGTGATTTAGTGGAATTTCAGAGAAAAAAGTATCCAACGTTTGTACGATGTTTTTTTTTTTCTATTCCGCTGCCAAATCACATAACCTGTTAGACCAAGGGTCCCTCAGGGAAGTCTTAGGGTTTTGTGGTGTTTTCTAATTTTGAGGCTTTGTTTGCTTTAAAAAGTGCCACGTCAGTTAAAATCAGGCCCCAGCTGAATCTTTGGCCAGCAGAGGATCGGCTTTATAACTCGTCTCCCTTTTGCTGTCTCTTGCTTTTATGAGAATAGACTTTAATTAAAAATGCCCTTGTGGCCCTTCTTGTGGAATTTCTCTTTGTGCCTAGCTTTGGAGGAAGATGTAGGGAGTGAGAAAAAGCAAGAAATGGGAGATGTTTTATAATTCTGTGCCTTTTGTATGTCTTTAATATCACATGGGGGAAAAAATTATGTAAAGTGGGCTATTTTGAGATTAATCTAATTGTTGCATTTTTGCAGCCAGGTTCTAAATAAAATAGATCTTATAAGCACAGTGCATGCAGTTATTAGTTTTATTAGAGCAATTTGCAATTTATTGCCTGTTCCACTGCCAGAAAAATGGGAACAAAGAATGGCCTTGTTTACTTGGAAAACAACTTAATCCATGTTTATTTATGGAGGTATTTATTTAGTGACCCAACTAATCATTTGGGGGTTTTTTTTGTTTTGTATTTTTTTTTCTTGGGTCCTCAGTGACAGGAAGGAAGTCTACCTTGGTGATGACAACTCACTGACCTTGACATTCAATGCCAGGAATGAGGGTGAGGGAGGGGCGTATGAAGCAGACCTGTATGTGGTGCTGCCCCCTGAAGCTGACTACATTGGCATTGCCCGCAATAATGAGGTGAATAGAAACAATCAAACTGACACCCTGATTTTGGGACTATTGGGACTTTAATCTTGATGATTTTCTTTCGATGTGGTTTGACCAGTCTGTCCTCTTTTCCAGACCTTGACCCAGCTGACTTGCAGCTATGAGACGGAGAACCAGACCCGATACCTCAGCTGTGATTTGGGGAACCCAATGAAGTCGGGCACCAATGTAGGAGCAATGTTGTCTTTTGGCTGTCTTTCTCTTTTAGCTCAGTGCTTAAGAAGTTTAAGTGTTGTGACACAAACAAGGTTGTTTGTTTGCTGGTTTTGTTTACATAGGACATATAAATAGTATCTGAAATTTAATGTATCAGTTATCAGTTCATAGAAACTAAAAAAGGAAGTGATGCGATCTTCATTTTAGGTGTGGACAGCACAGGAAAAGTCGACGTGTGTCAGGAAATGGTGTGGCAGGAAGTACAGGCTACATTTGTTCTATTGGTTCCCTTTTTATTGATTGAGTCACAAGTCAGCATGTTTTTAATAGGTTTGCGGTGCAAGACAGTTGGCTACATGTTAACTCAAAGCGACAAAAAGACTTCTTTATTGTAAATGGATCTGAAATGACCCGTTAATAATGTGCAGCACAGGAACAAGAAGTCCCATTTTTGTGCTGCTACGTGCTCAAGCAGTCAGTCAGTAATTTTAGATTGGGTCTATTAGGTCCTTTCCTTTTCTCTGTTACTTGTAATGAGAAAAAATTCAGAGGATGTTAATATGTCTGAACTTCCTTTCCTTAGCTCTGGGCCGGCCTACGTTTCACAGTGCCGCGGCTGAAGGACACACACAAAACGATTCAGTTTGAGGCGCAAATCCGCAGGTACAATTTCATGTGATCACCAACACAGGAAAAAATAGAAAAAGTGTACACAATATCAACTACTTCTGATTTAATAGTACTGATTTTCACAACTCTCAAATGACATCAGCTAATCAGATCTTTTTTTTTTTTCCCATTCTCTGTTTCCACAGTAAAAATGAGAATAATTCCCATAGTGAGGTTGTAGCCTGCAAGCTGGAGGTGATTGTTAAGGCTGATGTCATTCTACAGGGGTGAGCTGAGTGTTAGAATTCTCCCATTCGTGCTTTTGTGACTTCATTAAATCCCTATTGCCTCCCTACACATACTCTCATACCCCTCCTTCCCATTTTAAGTGTGTCTCGACCAGATAAGGTCTTCTTTCCGCCGGCCAACTGGAAACTGACCAAAAATTACAACGTGGAGGTGGACGTTGGGCCTGCCGTGGAACACATCTATGAGGTAATCGATGTTAGCTGTGCATGCTCAGTGGGGTTGAGCAGATTGGGTTGGAAAGCAGATATTAGAGTTTAAAAAAAAAAAGAAGGAGGAGGAAAACAGAGGAGGAAAACCAGATGACATGGTGGGATTTGCGCCAGTGCAGATCCATGGATTTGTAGATTAAAAAAAGTACACCAGATATTAATATTTCAGCATGGGAAAGAAACTGCTTGGAGAAACAAATGAAAAACTTATGGGGACTCTTATAGTTTTTTTTTTATGTTTGATATAGTAAAATGTTTCTTTTTCACTCCTTTTTCTAGCTTGTGAACAATGGCCCAAGTAGGATCAGCCATACCCTACTTGAGCTGCGCTGCCCTTTCCGTGTCCAAGGTCAAACTCTCCTTTACCCTCTGGAGTTCTCCACTGAAGGCCCCATTAACTGCACAGCTGACAAAAACATGAACCACCGAAACCTTAAAGTGAGTGACATTCAGCTGAACACCTCTCAGGGTCAAATGAGGCAAAGTCAGAGAGTGAAGATCTCCCATCATTGATTCCCAACGGTTGGCCCACACCCACCTTCTCCACCCTGAATCTCGACTCCACCCAGGACACTTTCCCCACCACTGCTTTGAAGTTCAAACTCTTCCCTATGCTCAGCACAGCTTGATGAACCACCTCACCCAGCAACACACTCATTCATCTACAACACCCCCTCATACTAAGTTGTAACTTGGGGATTTTGTGGGCAAAACATTTTAGTGTGGTTGTTTGTGTTTACATGTGACGTTTGACAGATGTTGAGCAGAGCTGTGAGTGGTCATCTGTCTTAGCTGTGATCTAATGTTTTTCCCCGCCCCCTAGTGAATTGCTAAGTATGGTGTATTTCCATGGGAATCCATAAGGAGTAGAGCTCACATGCTTCTGATTAATGACAAAAAGCCTCAGGGTCATGCTAACATTAGGTCTTATATTGACAGAAAGGGTGGTGCACTTTTCTGCCTAGTGAGGTCAGTATCTGTGTTGTTCTAATGGGTGGCTGGTGTGTTTCTGTTTTCCTTTAGCTCCAGCGCTCATCCACGGAGTCACCTATTCTGGCGCTAAAGGGCCATGAGCATCGCCTCGAGAGGAGGGACGTCCACAAGAATCAGCTTGCTCATTTGACTAACCTGGTAAGGCACTTAGAGGGAAATTGTCACATTCTGTAAGAGCAACATGTTTTATGCATGAATGAACCCTGTCAGACAAAAAGGTGGAGTCTAGTAGTCGGGGACTGATTGTGATAGTGTCTTTAAAGCAAAGACATGACAAGCTTTAGTTTGTAGTTTGAAGTAAGTATGATGATGGAAGTAAATCCATTTTTGCACCACACATAAACTTATATTTGAAACTATAGATTTGATGCTTTTCTGTGTATAAATGCGACCCTGTTTTGGTGACACTGGCCCTGCTCCTACATGAGGCTCTGGGGATGGGAAATTAGGTTATGATGTCGTTAAAAGGGAGGGGTCAGAGGTTACAGGCTTGTCCCATTGTGGTGATTAACATTAAAGAGCCTTTAGTAGTGGTGGGGAAAAAGGCATGGGAGGCTTTTTGACTGTGATGCACTGCTTAGTTCACAGACTTGTCTCTAATTTTTGGCTCTGGGTGTTATAAGCCTGCTCAGCCCCCACACACTGGTCCTATTGATCCACCCAGCTGTAGGTAGCTGCTCTATCTCCCTCTGTCTGTGGATACCTGCCGCTACCAAAGAAGTCTTTGTCTCTGTGCCCGTCTCTCCTAACTGTGGTCGTTTATCAAGCATGTCCAATGACACTCTAGTATGAAGCAGCCCTTTCTCCTGTTTCTCTTGTGTCTGCACTTTTTCCTTATGCTTGAGAGAATAGACATCTCCATTCAGCGCGAGTCTTGATCAGAGTGCGTTACTGTTTTGTGGTCAGAGAAGGTGAGATGGTGAGAATTGTAGATGACCTGTTTAGTTTTTGAAGGACTGGGATTAACTGCACCAAAACTCAAAAGACTTCCAAATTACTTTGATTAGTTTAAAATGGCCTCACTTTCACTGTGTTGTGGGACATGCAACATTCAGTGGCACTGAATGGGGCGCTCTTTGAAGATAATAGTGGTAGATCTTATTGTTCTAGCACATGTAATACATTTGAAACCACTTTACAGACTTTTCTGCTTGCTAAAAGCAGGACTTCTTGGTTCAAAGATACGAGACAACTGGGGTTTTTCTGTGCATGTCCTCTTTGTGCTTGTGTGGGCTCTCTCTGGGCACTCCAGCTTCCTCCCACAGTCCAAAGACCTGCATGTTAGGTTAACTGGTGACTCTAAATTGTCCGTAGATGTGAATGTGAGCATGAATGATTGCCTGTTTCTCTGTGTTAGCCTTTCGAAGGACTGCAAGCCTGTCCAGGGTGTACCCCGCCTCTTATCTTATGACAGCTGGGATAGGCTCCAGCCGCCTCGCTACCCTGAATTGGACAAGCTGCTAAGAAAATGGAAGGATGGAAAAATGGAAAAAATTTATAGGCTAATAATGGCCGAGTGCTTTACACGTATGTTTAAGGCCTTTAAAACCTGATGGGTTTACCAAGTTGGGATACCTGGCAGATGTTTATCTTTATCGGAGGCTGAACCAAAGAACAATCTATTAACATACTGACTGTAGACTTGTGTGCGTATTAGTCTTAATTCTGTCCTTATTAATGATGAATGACTGCCATATTTTTTAACCAGCAACGGTAACTGTCAGCTTCAAGATTAACTAATTATAAATCTAACGTCAAGCATGTCATATATGAAAAAGGGCTTCCACGTATTTAATAGTTCTGTTATGTTTTACCTTGCCAAATGCTCTCATTAACTTACTTGAAATATGGCTGCAGTTGACAGTAGTTTTACCTGACCAACACTCTGATTCAAAACCACCTAATTTATTATTAGCACCATTGAAGCGTAATTGTAAAACTTTACAGACCGCTTCCGTACAGTAGCTGTGTTTTCAACCTCAACTGTCATTTTATTAAGGATCCATGCCTCCATGATCCAGCTCTTGACCACATAATCCTGCCAGCGAGGATATATGTGGGAACTGGGTCTGAGGCATCTTTGGCATTTGACCATGTGCATGCCATTTTCACAAACCTTTGAGGCCCTGCTGCCCTTGGGCATCAAGCATGACTACCGAACGGAAGCAGACTGATATGCTCTCTGTCTGTCTGAATAATTATTAAGTCTGTCTAAGACTGAGCCTAAAGGAACTAGGCGGGTACCCTCTTCTCCTACTTTTGCCTTTCTCTGTGTAATAAGTAAACTAATGCGTTCCCGCAGGAAACCCGCCGAAACCTCTCAGTCTAGGGGTGGTCTGGCTACAGTACCTTTAAAACAGAGTGTGCACATGTTTTAAAATGTTAAATGTATCAAGCTGCACTATGGGGATCTAATTAAGATTGTGTACTCTACAGTCTTGAGAAAAATGGGCTGGTTTTAGTGGTTGGGCAATAATGTGGCGAGTGGTGCATGCTGCATTTTTACAGTCTCATGACATTCCTTCAATCTAATTCGAAGCAGGCGTGCAATAGGGATCATAACATTGGGTTCTTTGTTATATTTGTATATTTGTTCCACCGGCTTTTATTTATCTGTTCTACTAGTTTTTAGATTTGCTTTAATGACTTCTACTTGAATTTAGGCTCTGTCATATTATTTAAGTTTAGTGGGAATAACATTTTTTTTAGATGCTGTTCTCGCACAAAATGTCTTGAAATGTATTTAACATCGCAAACCGCATCATAATGATGGCATTCTCTCTGTTTGCACAGAACTGCTCTACTGTGGACTGCTGGAAAGTTGAATGCAATGTGGGTCTTCTGCAGAAGGGGACTACAGCTATCCTTAAAATGCGATCCCGTGTCTGGGCTGAGACCTTCACTGAGGTTTGTGGGGGGAGAACCTTGCCATACAAACTCCCCACACACATACTGTACATTTTACATATCTTCCAAACATAAGACAAAATACAGTAATAAATTGATCTTCCCCTACCAGTGGCTGTATATTTTCTCATGTCAGGCTCTGGCAGGAAGTAAGAAGCCATTTTTATTAAAGCGTTATTGGAAACAACACTGAGACTCGACCTCAAATGTGCTTCTAGGAAAGGCAAATAGTTGGAGTTGTCAGTAAGACATGTTTGGTTGTGATCAATTTGTACTCAGCAGCAGCTCTAAATCAGTTAACAGTATTGCCAGTTACGCATATTTGCCTAAACAAATGAGAACAGTTGCTTTCTGAGGAAGCAGTTTGCTCCACACTGGTGTTCATACTGCAGCTTCTACCAGTGTTTGTCATGTCTAAAATACACAGATTATTTCCCATCTATGTGGTATGTACTGAAAATTTAATATTTGGTTATCACAGCTTGTTATAGGGTAGAAGTGCTAAAGGGTTTTTCGTAGGGAGATGCACATGGTCAATGTCGCCACCTAGTGTATAACTAGTATATTATATGCATTTTGAATGTAATTTGTAATATTTTCTTCTTCAGAGAGCTTATAAGCAATATGTGCTGGAGTGCCTGGCAGAATACCGTGTGAAGAAGATGCCATATGCAATCCAGCCTAAACTTTTTCCCAGTGGAAACAAAAAGGTATTTAATGTGTTTATTAAGTTATTCAATTTATTATAACTTGTTCATTTCACACAAATCTATATTTTTAGTACATATTTTTGTATTGTTGTAGTTTGGAAGAAGACATCTTGTCTTGTCATCCTCAGGTGGTGACTCCAGTGGTTTGGAACAAGCCGGATATCGAGAACTCAGTTCCACTGTGGATCATCATCTTGGCTATTCTGGCTGGTTTACTGCTTCTGGCTCTTCTCATATACATCTTATACAGAGTGAGTACTGCTGTGATATAAAAGAATCATAGCATGCTTTTGATCTGAAAGATCAATTAATGTGATTTTGTCTGTTCTCATTTATGTTTCCTGCATTTCTGAAATGTTTTTTTTTCTTGCAGTTGGGCTTCTTTAAACGAGCTGACCCTTACGGCACTGCCATGGAGAAAGCGGAACTCAAACCGCAGGCTGCCTCTGAGGCCTAAAAGACCACCAAAGCTACCAAAACCACAGTACCTGGCCATATGATTGCAACCGAGAATTGTGGTGGAATATGTAGAGTGGATTTAAAAAAAAAAAAAAAGCAGTTGAAGAGTTACAAGAAAGAAAGACTACTGGAACTCCACTGTGCTGCACTAGAGGAAGACAAAACTCCAAAGATCTCAAAGCCAAATGAATGTTTTCTTTTTCTATTTTTAATTTATGTCTTTTTTGCTGGCAGGGTTGGACTGTTATCAAATGGAGCTTGTGTCAATGCATAAGGCTAACATTGGACTGTACAACAAAAAATGACTGCAGAAGAAATGCAGGCTACCGTCAACCTGCAGATGCAGGGAGATGGGTTTAATTTTATGGATTCTTGGTATGGATCATTTTGTTATTTCCCTGTAACTGCCTTATATTGGTGCTAATGATCTGATATGATTGCTGCCTCTGACAGGATATGGCCACATGTTGCTTGTGGCATCTAGGAGCTGTGAATTATGCCGCCTGCTGAGGCCTGAAAGTATTCTGATATCTCCTAAACACATTTAATTGACAAAAAATTAGAAAACTGTTTATCTGCCTTTAGTAAAGGCAACATTACATCGACAAATATTTAACAACAAAACCTGTTTTAAAGCTCTGATTTCATAGCTAATTGTAATTCAATTCCTTTGCTAAAATTTAAGTAATTTTCAATCCCAACTATTCAGAGGTGCTGATTCTTGCCCAGTGCATGCTGGGATATGCTCCACCACTCCACCACTCCGGAAATTAAAAAAAAAAATGCATAGATGGACATTTCTCACCCGACCATGGAACTGATCTCTCTCTGCCTCAGGTTGGTGGACAGTGTCGGGTTAAGTTGTTTTTGCACTCAAAGGAAATCTACTGATATTATTCCAAAGACACCAAAGACTGACTGACCTTCCTTTGAGTTCTGAATTTGACTCCTACTGATCACTTTGTTTAAATCCTGTATGTTTGAGTTGAGAGTTACCAGTGCTGGCAATGTCATTGTTGTGTAGTCGACTGGGATGGGACTGGAATCACCACAGACCTGTGAAACCTCATGTAAGGCCTGAAGCAGTGTGGTGCTTCTGTCAAAACGCAGTGTTCTCAAGATTTAGTTTTATTTTTAATGTCATCACTCCTGCTTTGTTTGGATTGGGTTCATTCAAGATGGAAGCCTAAATGAAGCAAATTGTGCTTACGGTGGAGGAAATAAGCATATAATGATATATTTTTTTTAAAACTGAAGACATGACAATCAGCAATCCTGTAGCCTCGACAGTAGGCTGAAGGCAGAATGATTCTTTTTCAGCATAAAATGTGTGTTGCTGTGAGATACTGTATTTTTCTATTCTTTTTTTTTTTCCTTTTTTTTGTGTAAATGCTGCCCGTGCTTAAAATGAGAAGTAGCTGAAGCCATCCCACACCCAGAGGCTGCAGGGACGCAACATTAAAATGCCTCGTGTTGGTTTCTTTTGACATGTGCGTAAGTTTAATGTGTCCTTAATGTAAATACTTAGTGCTTGTCAGTTACCGTTACCAGTTGTGTGTGTTTACATGTATACATGCGAGATTTCATGAATACATGCATTTGTGTGGATGGTATATTTATGAATGTTTGTTTTTGTCTTATTACCTTTCCCACTGCCTAGTCTTTTTTATGCCAATCACATCAGTAGCTTGAGATAATTGAGCTTAACCAGTTCTGCGTTACTTTTCAAATTGATAGCATAAATACCTCTAACAAAGGGATGACAGCTAGGCACTGGGAACTACATGTTGTTTGGAAGTGCAATATTTATATTCACTCGTTTTAATATTACAGTGCTTTCTTTTGATTTATGTTTTGTTTGTGATTGATTTGTGATAAATCAGACCTTTACGTGTGAAGGTATGTGATGAACATGTAGCCAAATCCTTTGTTGGTGGTTCACTTGCTTTTTCTCACTAAGCATTATTTCAGGTGTGAAAGTTTTTGTTTTTCAAGGATTTTTCCCACTTCATATGTACTCACCACTGCAGGACCTTTCTGATCTCACTTTTTGTAGCATAGATTTTCATAAAAATACAAGCACATTTCTGGTATGCTGAATTAGTTTGGTGATTTATGTGCTCTGGTGTTGCACCTGTCCAAACAGCATCATACTGACCGTCTGCAATGCATTTGTTTGCTTCATTAAATTCTCTTCATAAATCCCCTTGTAGTTGATACATACAATTTTCCAGATAGTCCACAAAATTTGCCTTTTGGAAAATTACTTTTATCCTAAAATGTAGTCAGTAGACATTTTATTTTTTTTTTTTAAACGAAACACAGAAAATCATTATTTATAATGATGGGATCATTTTACTTCTTCCTCCTCAGTCACATCAGGAGAAAGCACTGGTTTCTTCATTTTGTTATTTACATGTCTTAGCCAGGACTTTCAAAAAGGTGTTGTAAATATTAATAAGATGGAGAATTGTGAATATCCTCACCCCATATTGGGGAGACCCTTTAATGTCAGGTGGAATGGGGGCTCTTTGAAGGTCAATTTTTACCTGTTACGGTTTGTACTTTAAATAAAATGATTCCTTTTTAAACATTTTTGTACTGTCATTAAATACACATTAGTGGGAAAATAATTTATTTAGAAAACAATATACGAAATTATGCATGTCAGTTAGTGCCAAACATGATCTGATACAATATATTTAATGTGAAAACACTTGTGCACTGACCTAAAGTGGTTAATTGTGGCACAGGTCTGTGTTCTTATGGCAGTTTTGTGGAATAAACAATGTGATTCTTCCACAGACAGCAGTATAAAAAAAACTTCACAAAATGAATTTTGACACCAAAGACAAGAATACTTCACTGTACATCATGTTGTAACATTTCCTTTTGAAGGGATCACTTGAAATATTTAGACACCAGTGTGACATAAGGCTTTCTGAATAACCACAAGTCCTGTCAACACAGAGTCAGGGCCACTGGAGCTCATTTCTGTGCACAGAGCCCATTTTCACTGTCAATGTTTTGCTGTGCAGAAAGCTTCTCCAGTAATGTCCAAACTCCTTAAGTAACAATGAATTTCCATGGGATGCTACATCTCCATAGGTCCAGTTCCCACCTCTAATTGAGAAGAGTTTGGAGGTTTTATTCCGTTATACAGAGTTCATTTTTCAGCTGTGATTTTGCTTCAGTTTCACAGTCCTTGCACATTTTCAGTCATATGTCCTAGCAATCGATTGTTCTCGATAGCTGCGTCAGCTTGCGCTGGTTGTCAATCACCTTCAGGTTTTGGATATAGTGCCGGATGTTTGTGGAAGTTCGCAGAGGAAAGGCGTGATCTGAATCTAGAAAAGATTAAAATCATGCCTGAATCTGCATGTGTTTAAGTTTTTGTACTTTTGTACAAACAAGGTTAAACTGAACCTTATCTTGTGAAGAAAATATTAAAAACTGTCGAATGGCATTAGAGATGTGGCTTACATGTAGACAAGCGAGTAGCAGCGCCTTCCAGAAACATACGATCTGCCAGGCCTCTCTGTGGAGATGAAGGCACTGCAGAGGGAAAATAAAACATTATCTTACCTGATGTATGCACAAACCTGCATTGTATGTGTTTACTCCAACATGCATGTGAATTACTTCCGACTTTTCCTGAATGCATACAGTCTCAAAGGTATGAAGTCAGTGGGGCCGATCATTTTGCCGCCAAACTATCACTTACCATAAGGTTGGCTTCTGCATCCTCGAACGATTTTCACTGTTTTGGCAAGCATTCGCTACGACAAGGTGAGAAAAGGAAACTCTTCAAGTCAGTCTCTTACTGAGGATATGATTTGTAAGGAAACAATTACATAACAACATTTGAAAATAACTTTTCCATACCATTTTCTCAAAATTGACCAGTTTGTCTACGTAGTTTGCGTTTCCCTCATGGATAAATGTCATGTCTAGATATAGGAAGGGACAGAAATAATTAGTATCTTAATAATAAGGACTTGCTATTGGATTTGCGATTCACTGGTGTCTGTTACCTTTCAGCAGCAGAGGCATGAAGGGAATGTAAGGAGGACTGAGTTTAGCTATAGCCAGTCTGTACGCCCTGTGGTTGCGTGAAGGGTCCTAAAAGAATAAGCGAGCATAGCACAATCAGACCATTAGAAACCTTAAAGAAAATATATTGTTTAGGACATTTATAAAACTTATTCAAAGCTGAGTACATAGTTTACCATGAGTCTCTCAAGAGAACAGTAAATCCTTTTTGTCTTGCTGGGTATTCTCTGTAACAGACAAGCAAAAGATTGCAAAGTCAATTTTAAAGTATTTGTTTAGTAAGTGTGGCAGAACATTTATTATTATCATGCCTGCTGCCTCAAGGGGGCTCTCACCTCCCAGGTCTTGTAAAGCCTCTGAATTGCACTGTTGCTTAAGCCAAACATCACAGCAAAGAATGAATTTAGATTCTTCTGCTCCTTTAATCTGTGATGGAGAGGACACATGACTGTAAATAAAGTGCAGTCCTTGAAGTGATGCTGGATGGATAAAGTTTAAGATGGGGGGGGGGATAAAAGTAAGTACAAAGGTCCTGCCCGGATACTCGCAGTGACAATACCTGTATGATTACAATATGTGATATTAAGCAGGATATTAATGTTTTAAGACCATGCTAACTCTTCTAAATGTATACTATATACAAAAAAAGTCTTGGGCCGCACCTCAGTGGATAAAAAATGTGTTGGCCTGGATCTTTTAGTTTCAAAGAACTAAAATCTTAATGCTTCTGCTTACTGAGACATTTTGGACAATTCAATGGATGAATGTTGTGGTAACAGTTTGGTGAAAACCTGTTTCTGTTCCTGCATGACTGTGCTCTACTGCACAAAGCAATGTGCAGATATTTCACACATTTCTCTGTGAACCATAAATGCCAAACGTTTGCACCAAACCATCTGAGGTTTCAATCAACAAGTCTAAACTATGAGTTGCTTTCTGGTAAAGTAGATGCACCTATGGTATGACTCTGAAAGTCGTAGGTGACTTCCTTGTTGTGTCATTACATTACAATGTGACATTGACCTTGAGGCTGACGTCACTGAGATTTGAACTTCTTTGAGATTTATAGTAGATGCATCTATGGCATGAATCTCAAAATCCTACACTGCATCATTCTTGAGTTATCGCAACCATAAACTTGACTGTACACGCCGCCAAGGTGATGACAACACCCCATCAGCCTTTTAGGGCCGGGAAAAAGGCAAGACATGCGTGAGGTCAGTAGGTTTCACTGTTGAGATGCTTATTTGTTCAGTGGCCAACCTGCTTTGGCTAAATGTATGGTTTATGCAATTAATTCTTACACTGAAGCGATCTTGATAAACTTCTTGAGCAGCATAGCACGTTTCATGAGGTCTTCACATAGGCACAGCTCAGTCAGTACCCAGTGCTGCACCTCATTAAAGCGACGCACAAACCGCTCTAGGTTAGCCGTGATGGCTCCAGGGAATTTGTGGCGCCCAAAAATGTAGTAGACCAGCTCCACCTGGAGAGACACAGACAATGAGTCACAACCACTGGCATAATTTAAACACACCGTGAAACAAGCAGACAGGAAGTCTTTTGCAGGTATCTTTTGTTTCTTTAGAAATGTGAGGCATGCAGGAAATGACCCAAATAATCTGATGGCAAAGATGATACTGGTAGATAAAAGGCGGTAAAGCTTGAGAGTCATGCAAAGTTCTTTGTTGCACGAATGCTACTTTGAGCTTTGGTTACGTATGTCGGTGAGCAAATAAACAGCTATGGGCGTAGTGGCCATGAGATACAAAACACAACTACAAAGAGAAATCCACAACATTTAGAAAATGTAACAAAAACAAAAACAAATGCAGAACACTTCAGAACATGCATAAAGAATGTACAACAGGCAAATACACTGTTGAGAAACAAAAAGGCTTCAAAACCAAAAAGGAAATGCTGTTATATGTTCCCTCGCCACCAAAACAGTCTTCTCCTTCCTGCATGGTTCTTTCTTCTTTCTCACTCCTGTCAGGCTGTGTTTGCTCAAAGGGGATTACCAGATCATTGTGTATCACTCTCTAATGTTGTAGGGCTTTTATCTTACAATATAAAGTACATAAAAATAGCATTTTTTGTAAAATATGCTATATAAATCAAATTCAATACTATTAAAGTTAATTACTAGTTAATACTCTAGTGTTCTGAAGCAGTTTTGAAGCAGTCGATTGGTAAAATCAAATGAAACATCAATCATAGCCGCGAAGTTACCTCGTGCATGGCAGTGAACAACTCCCAGTCATAATTGGTGAGCTCACTGGCAATGTCTTTAGAAGACATCTGTTCAAGGACGTCAGCGGTTCCTTGCTCTGGACCCTGCTGCTCCTTTAGAGGTGTCTGACAGAGAGAGAGAGAGAGACGGCGCAGTGGCAGAGAGAATGAAAATCATCAGGAACAATGTTGTTCAGGTGAACATTTAATGACTCGCCTTATGGTTGGGGATGCTGCTTTCAACAAAACCATAATATGAAAAACCATAATAAACAACAAACATATTTAGAATAGATCCCGAGAGTTAAATCCCCTCCTCATTTTCTATAAAATATAATAGGATAATATTAATCGTTACTAGTTCATGACCATGCTACAGTACTTTATGATGAAACTTGGCTGTGAGATGAAAATGACATGATGCTTTTATTAGGTGTTGCAGGTACATAAATGCAAAATATAGGTTGTTTTAGGTTTGGCTGCTAGGTAGTTGCTATGAAACATAATGATATTGTGTATGATTCAGCTTTTGTGGCTATAAATGAGATGTTACTGTTACAAAATTAAATGATAGGATGTTTTCATTGGTGCTGTACGTGCATAAATGCAGAAAACAGATCCTTTTAGCCTGTTGATAGTTGGTTGCTAGGCAACATCATAATGTCTGACATAGATAACAACCGGTAGCAATATCTGATGTAGATAAAGGACATAGGATGTACCTGTCTTCCAAGTCTGGTTGCTCAACCCCTGATTGTGTAGGAGGAGTTGGTGGACAGACAGACAACGAGTTCATGTATTTTAATAAGTGTGTTTTAATCAACTAAATAGACCAAAAAATGGTAAAGAAGTTATGGAAGAAAACAAATCCTCACCAGTTGTTCCACTTCGCTGATTGTGCAGATGAACAGTCTCTCGTTGAGTCCCAGGGCGGTGTAGACCGCAGTAGCATCCAGCTTCAGCTGAGCTCTTTCTGTGCGCAGTCATAGGAAACACAGTAATTTTCACCGTAATTTTAAAAAAGGAGAGCATTTAAAATTCTGTGAACACAGCATAGGTTTGATGACAAACAGAATTACTCATCTGTTAGTACATTAGTCTAGCAATCTACCAAAAACGGATTATTTTAATGAAAAATAAGTGTTGATTCTAGAAAACAAAACAAAAACATATGACTAATGCCTCCCACCTCCTGTGGAGTTCATTTTGATGAGGACATGATCTTCTCCAGCTTTTCCTAATGCTGACATTATCTCCTGTACAGATGTATTCACCGGCAGCATCGGAGTGAGAGCTTTGTTGTCTGGCCTGTAGATCTCATACAACACTAAATCAGAAGAGGACAGAAAATAAAATGTCACATCATGCTAATTTGGTGATTAATTTAAAGACTAATGGCGCCCGTTAAGTTACTGGATACTGAGATTGTTGTCCTTTATTGACATATTGCGTGACACACACGTCACAAGCACTGATTCTAAACCCTTTTCCCATCATTTGTCATCATGGCCATTCACGTGTTCATTTAAACTAACTCTAACCTGGATATGGACTTCAGCTTAGCATTTAAAACATTTTTGACTAGTTTTACTATTCCATCAATCAATCGATTTTCCTGTAGACTCCTGGTGGAGCATAGGGCCGCAACAACACCACGCCAACGGACTGTTCTGGGGCGTTCTCTTCAGCTGGGTTCACGTCATTCGGGCAGCCAGTCCAGTGCTTGCCTTGTGAAGTTGTCGGATGGTTTTCGGAGTGTGTGGCCTATCCAGCCCCATTTTCTCTACTTGATGCCTTGACCGACCAGGTTCTGGCTGGTTCTCTTCCACAGGTTTGTGTTCGAGATCTTCTCCGGCCATCTGATGTTAAGGATGTGTCGCAAGCACTTGCTGATGAAAATCTGTATCTTGCTGGTAATGGTGTTGGTCACCCGCCACGTCTCGGACCCATACAGGAGGACTGCTTTCACATTGGTGTTGAAGATGCGGATCTTGCCGCGCTTTCTATTCCATACCGCTATTTAATGCATATAGTGACCAAGTTGAACTTTATATTCAGTATTTTTAGTGAACATTAAACATGAACATCTAGCAAAACTGTTTATACTGTTTAGCTATATTTCAGACACAAATTTAGCCAGGTTTGATTTTGAAGTTGTTGGTAAAGATAGATGTAAAAGTTTATTGTGTATGATTTGCCATCAATTTCAGTCGTTTCCTTTTTTTCATTTATTTAAATATCCCCCACTAGACGTCTATCCTTATTATGGGGATTTGGTTTTCTTGATTATTGTCAGCTGTAGTGTTTGAACTTTACTCACCTTTATCATGTGCTCTGATTGGTTGAACCCTCCCCACTGACTCCTCAAAGTTTGAAAACCAATCAAACTGGTGGTTCTGCCAATAATATAAAAGGCGACTCAGTGACACTTCAGTGACATTAAACTCTCTAATGGCAGTAGAAAGACATTTCTTAAAATGGATTTCTGATATAACACTCTGTCACACTTTTTGGCAAACATCCCAAAGGGTTTAAGCTCCAGTAGGACTTGTAGTATAAAGAAAAACTTTCACTTTGGCCTTTAGCCTCTGTCAGGGTTATCAAAAATATACTGCAGATAAAAATTTAAATAGAACACATTTTAAGTAGAAAAGACAAGCTGTGATATATGTCTGGTATACATATCTATCAATCCACTCAAATGTGTATTTTTGGGGAGGAAATTTTATTTTTTAGTAGAAAATTATTCAGCATACATATTCACCAATAGATATAAGGCCAACTGGGCCTTATACCTTATGAGCCCCCCCTAAAAACAAATGAAATATGTCATGGCTGTGTCCAGGCAGGCAGGGATAGAGGACCCAAATGCAGACTCGAAACGGGCAGATGTGAGCTTTAACAGCTTTATTGCTGGACACAAACTGAACTAAACCGAGAGATACAAACATAAGCTAAACCGCTAAGGGAGACAGAACACACAGCTAGGGTGAGGGTACCATGCGACACTAAATACACACACTTGGTAACAAGGAAGTGGTGCACAGGAGGGCGACACACCTGAATCTAATTGCTCAAGGGAAACAAGACAGAATACACTAACCTGAGACACGGACCCTCAAAGTAAAACAGGAAACACACAGACAGACCCTCCAGACACAGACTCAGACACACGATACTGACTAGACAGGAAAGGTGGCACCACGGCAGGTACAGAGACACCGACCAGACACTAAACAGAGGGAGCACTGAGTACAGGGACATGAGGAGCACAGGAACCAAAACTTAAAGAACTAGAAATACAAAACAGAAATCAAACCCTAATATATATGAACCAAGATGAAACCAAAGACTAATAAAAAATAACAATACAAAATCCAAAACGCTGGGTCACTGACCCAGGACTGTGACAAAATATGGTAAAGGATTGATAACTGGTCTAAAACCATAGAAAACATACTATTAAAAAAGTGCTCAAATATGATCCAGTTAAGGAATACCTTAGGGAGTTGTTACTGTAAGAGAATTTTCTTGGGCATGATATCTCTGAAAATGGGCCAATTTTCTTTACTTAATGGGTTGTTCCTCATACTACAAGAGTTGCTGGAGCTTCAGCCTCTTAAGACATCTGCTCTTCTCCATGCACCTTTGAAGTAGGCGAAGTTGTGCCAGAAACCTGTACTTTGTTTCCACACACTCAATAACTTACCCTGCTCAGTGACTGATAGCCATTCTCCAACCTGAAAAAGTATAGAAGTATTAAAGTGTTAAATAGTATGCGAAGGATATCTATGACTTGTGAATTGTTAAGAAATATGAAACATGATCTGATAGTGCGTACACTTTTGTCCTCTTCCTTTCTCTGAAGTCCTTCAGCACGTTGAACAGTTGTGAATTCGCTGCCATATCTTTCTTTAATCTCTGTTTCAACCCCAACATTAAAATAAAAAACATACTTATTCAAAAATCACACAGTGATATGTTTACAATTTTAATTTATGACTTTGAGGCTGAGATCTCACCTCCAGAAAGTCCAAGGCAATAGGGTCTTCTTTCAGGTGAAGGCCAAACAGTGCCACCCACTGGCCAACCAACTTTACTACTTTCTGTTTAATGTTGAGAACATAGGCAGTCTTCTCCTGCTCTGAGCCCTCAGCAAGCTGTGCCTGGTAAGTGCAATGTTGGTTAAGGGTATAACACATAAGACCTTAATTACAAAATAAAAACAACATTAACTATAACAATTTATTCTGGTAATAAAATGCACTGAGAATTCCATTATATTACAAACATACACTATAATACAGCTTTGTTTGACTATAGTAATTCTCATAAACAACACTAGCTTCACTGTTGTCAGTATCAATGACACTGTAGGATATTGGTGCTGTAGTGCAGGACAGAGCTGGCTGGAGGGCATGAAGACTTTGTGTGTGAGCAGGAAGTCACTCACACAAGAATCTGCAGGGACACAATCATCACCATAATACAGTGATTACAAAGTAACTGACTTGGTCTGAACATTTTTTTTTCAACAACAGAAAACAGGCATCTGTAATCTTAACAGTGTCACCTATAGCATCATTTCCATTAGACTCCAACTTTATTGTTTCCAGTAGGTGTTCCAAGATTTTCTCAGGTGATCCTGACATAACTGTGTACCTGCAAAAAGCAAGACAGAAAAAAAAAAAACAAAGAATAACTTTCAAAACCTTGTGTTTGCCTTACATTGGTCCACATAAATAAAGCAATAAATTAATTAAAAAGTATTTGTTGTGTAAATGTTGACCGGTTATCTCCTCAAAAAGAAGAAGCACAAAAAGTCTCTTGACGTAATCATCGCATAGTTTGTCTAGCAGACTGTGTTTACAACACTTTGAAAGTTCTTAGCTGTATATCACAGCCGCGTAGACAATAGCGCTCTGTCTGTTTCAGATCATAGCTTTACTGTGTTTGCTTAAAACACTTCACCTTCCAGCACATCTCTAATTTCCACACCCCTCTTTCGCTCATGATGCTTTTACATGACGCTCCCTCATGTTATTAACTTTTGTGTACTCTCTCTCATACTTTGTTACGCTCTTGTCTATTTATGCTCTCCTTTTTTTCTTTTTTCTTTCCCTCACCCCTCCACAGCCAGCTGATTGCTGCCCCTCCCTGAGCATAGTTCTGCTGGAGGTCTGTTCCTGTTAAAACTAAGTTATTCTTCTCCATAATCACCAAGTGCTCATGGGGGATCGTCTGATTGCTGGGTTTTCTCTCCAACATCAAAGGATCTCTACAATGCAGTATAAAGTGCCTTGAACTGTTTTGAATTGATTGCTATATTAATCAAATTCAATTCAAAACTTTGAGAGCACAAAAAGGGACTGAATGTTCAGATAATAAATGTTCTTTTCAATTGTGTAGATTTACAAGTAAAGAGAAGAAAGTGGTTTAAACGTAATCTAAATAAGAGTCCTGCATCAACTTAATTGACCTTCATATTTGATAAAGTGGTTCAAGACTGATAACAAGTCACTCAGAAAGGCAGGGTTAAAGTCCGCCTATTATATGAGTGTTAGGTAATACTCTATTAATAAACAGTTAATCACATCTTTAAAAAAGATTTATGTAATCATCACTTATTGTCAGCAGCAGTGTTTGTATTAGAGCCGTGCATTATCAGCCCACACCTGGACAAAGCGTCTTAATGATCATAAATCATAGATCATTGTAAATTAACTGCAGTATTTTATAGAAGTTAGTAGGTCAGAGTCGCTTACTTGCTGCTGTTCCCTGCTCCTCCTTGTTCAGTCGAGTCTGCACTCTTTTCCAACACCAGCACAGTCTTCCCGTGCTCTTCCAGTCGCACTGTATTAGCCTCCACGTCCTGAAGGACAGGGAAGAATGACAACCAGTTTGAAAAGTTATTTGAAAATTTGCGTGAATCTCACATCTCTTAAATTGTCACATGGGGCTACATGTGTTCAGCAAGCACCCGATGTCTGACAGACAACTTCTGGTGATAAAAATGCAGTAAGAGGAAATCCAACAAACCTTGAGGATCCTTATGAAGTCCTGTTTATCAACACGAAGGAAATGACAATTGTCCTCTCGCAAGATGATGGTGGCGGCTCGAGGTTGCTCATTTAGCAAAGCTAGTTGCCCAAAATCCTCACCTTCATGTAGAGTAGTCACCAGACCCTACATGCACACAATACTCTGAGCTATACAGCATACTTGAAATCAATTGCAACGTGTTTTATTAGAGACAGTGGGTTTTATTAATTTGGAACCACTGGCTTTACCTTCCCGTGTGTGATCACATTTACAGAGCCTTTCCAGATGATGTACCAAGAGGTTCCTTTATCCCCCTGACTGAACACTATATTGAAAAACAAGCAGAAAGAAACCACATCAGTCAGTCATATATCTCTCTAACCATTACAACTCCTAGAAGATCACACCTTGAGAGCACCTTCCTTAAAAGTACTTTGTTAAATATGGCTTTAACATTAAAGAAATGGGTAGGATTGAAGAGAAAAAAGATCTGATGATCTTCTTACCCGCAGTAAACAAAGAAATAAATTATAACATTAGACGGTCTGAATAGTCTTAATCTTATTTTCTGGAAATGATGAATGTTTCACAGAAAAAGATGCTATTTTCTGTGCATAAGAGCAGTATTATAGTGTGATTCAGCAACACAATGAAGCTGTGTAAACTCACAGACTGTTCCAGCTTTGGCATGTGATTCAAAGACCAGCACTGCTGCCAGCTCCTTACGCACCTACAGGCACAGCAGGACAAGAACAGACAGAAGCGCACTGATACCTTCTGCTATCATTGCTGTAAATGGGTTTTTCTTGATTTTCACTTTCATATTTCCAGTGTATTTTTAACATTTCTTTCATGTGGCATAAAATACAAAAGAAAAATATTATAGTTGATGTATGCAAGTAGAATACTGCCTTTTAAAAATATATATATTTTAATAAAATATATCAGATCAAATCCATGGTTAACTATCACGAAAACAGTTCACATTAAAAAAAAAAAATCAATATGAAGAGCCTTTAAAAATGTTAGGGGAGTTTATAGAGACTGACTGAAGAGGAGAGATGAGCGGCAGCTTTGACGTGGAGCAGCTCCTCGTAGATAACCTCCAAGTCCTCGGGACTCCTCTGACTGGGGCTGTAAAAAAAAGGAAAGAAGAAGAACATAATAAGCCAAACAAAACAAAATACAGTAACTTTGCTAGCACCTTGAACTTGTTGTAAGAAGCTTTCTGACAATACAGGTTATCATGAAGAAATGCTCATGTAACAACTAAACCAACTGACCATTTACGTAGAATCATAGTGAGCAGAGCATCAGGACCAAGCTGAGACAGCAGAGACAGAGCTTCCTGTAGTTCATCCTCTGAATCCTTCTCATTCAATATGTGGTTAAGTCCAAACTGGGAGTCTTGGAAGCGATAGAACTGTGTGTCCTTGTCGAGGAAATTCAACTCATGTTTCACTTTGATTGAGACAAAACACAGAAGAGAAAATAAAACCCTTAAAATAAAATGCAAGAATGCGGTTAGACAACTCCAACACACACATTGGTTTAGAAACAACACAACAGAGGCAGATGAGTAAATTTTTAGATAAGTTTTATGCCGGTCATTTATAAAACTTTAGATAAATGGAAATAAATGCAAATGCTTTCTGAGTGAGTTCCTTCATTTGATGATGAAGCATTTCTGTCCTGATTGGAGTGGTCTCTTCCAGGAAGACAGTGTCTCATCCAAAGAGCTTAAGTGGTTAGTGAACACTTGACTGACTGAAATAACAACGCAAAACAAATGTCATGGTAGACTCGGTCACCAGATTTCAAGATAGTCAAGCATGTCTGGGACATTTCTAAGTGCTGCCAAAAGCCTTATCATCAGAATACATGAAAAGTAATTTGTTTGGACATTATTCCACATTCATCTTTACAAGAAGCCCTAAATTCACCCAACACATGACAAGTATCCTTCCTATTTTTCATCAAAATACTAAATTTTTCAAAAGTTAGCTCTTCAGTTCTTACCATGGAGAAGTATTCCCTCATCCACTAAGACCTGCCATATTCCCACTGCCTGACTTCTTGATTGGAGGCCTTCATTTTGGGTCATCAGCCAGTCAACAAGGTCCTTACCGGAGCAACATTGCCTATGAGAGAAATTTGCATGTAATTTAGAGACACTGTTACTTTTAATCATGAGCTAAATCACATCGCCAGAATAGGTACCTGTATGTTTTGAGGTGATGCTTTCTATCTCGGATCAGACCAGGGTTCTTCTCAATCATGACACTATACACTGATCTGGCTGCCTTCACCACGCGATCTGAGAGAAACTTGATAAACATGAAAGATAGGTGAAGTGACTAAATCATAAGGGTGTTGTGTTTTTTATAAACACAATTTCTGCCAATTTTTGAGATGGCGAAAGGCCGAAGTCAGCAAAAGAAACGAGTGTTTGTGAAAGTGAGGAAGACCATTTCCCCCTCAGTTTTGAACAATGTTGTGTGTGGAGACTTCTGTAGGTGTTGGAGTAATGGAGTGTTTTGTGGGGGTTGCATAGGTGTCAAAGTGTAATGGAGTGTGTGTGGGGGTTGCACAGAGGTGAAGAGGTGTTAAAGATGCAAACTTAAATGCTCTGAGACTTTCCAGCTTCTGACTCTGGCCAGCACAGAGCAACAACAAACTGTATGACAACTCTGAACTAGTTTCCCTTTAACCTGCTTTGATGTCCCCACCACTCATTCTCAACAGCGCACACACACACACACACACACACACACACACACACACACACACACACACACACACACACACAGTCCTGTTTTCATATCTTAGTGGGGACATCCCATTGACATAATGCTTTCCCTAGCCGCCTACCCTAACCCTAACAATCAAAAATGAATGTCTGAACCTAACCATAACCTAATTGTAACTCTGACACTAAAACCACATTTTGAGTCTCAAAAATGCCTTTAAACTCATGGGGACAGGCATTTTGTCCCTATAAGGGTTGTTATGGGGACAAACAGACCACACACACACGCACACACAAACACACACACACACACCATAACATAATGGGTTGCATTAACCTAGACCATAACTTTAACCTAAACCCAAATCTTCAAATTTAGTGAGATTATGGGGGCTTTCTTTTTGTCCCTATAGTCCCAACAATATTGGTAATACAAATACACATAGCTGCACATAACACACTGAGGTCAGGTTTGAACTCACAAAGACCTGCACACAAGGGTGCACAACCTGCCAGCCACTCATGCAGAGGCAAAGCTTACGTAACAAGAATGTGCTTTGTTTGTGGCTGAAATTCAGCTCTCCAATTTTAGACCTTCTCATGCTTTATGCTCTGTATTTTGAACATAAAAGAATTGATTTAAACTACCACCCAATGATATTTACTGTCTCAATGACTGACAGTCGCACAAACTTTAATTTTGCGCCTCCCTGGTTGACTCCCACAGGTCTTGTGATTACATGCTTGACACAGGCTGTGGATTTTCCCCTAGACACTTTTGTTTGTCTAAGGTGGTGACCTGGAGATTCACACAAAATCCAACACGGATTACTTCCTATATTCTTCTCTTAAGAATGCAATGCAAAGAAGCCAGCAACAGAAACTACTTTCTGTCTCCTGCAGGTTTCTGCAATTCATTCAGGATGTAAAAACACCTACTGTTTGACTTATCTGCTGACATCATGCCTCGATGACTCCAACACTGCCCCTGGTTTTCCCTATTTAAAGTGGGCCATAACACATCCTTGGTAAATCCAAGTTCACACAAAGTTGTTAATTCTAATTTAAAATTGCAATTAGCAGCTGCGGGCACAGTGTACACTTTAACCTATCGCCCTGACACTAGACTCTTCCCAGACCTGACATCAACAGAGTAAATGCGTCCCGAGGCCTCTGCTGTGCCCTGCTGAAGTTAGTGTGTCGTGAGGTCACTTGTATTCCCAGAGGCCCATTTTCCCATGGGGCTCCTGCAGTCACATTCTCACGCCTGTCAACTCCCAACTTATTTTCTTGATGAGGCGACTTTCCATTACCTAACTCATTCCTTACAAAAACAACATCAAAAGCCATACATCACTGTGAGCCCTCTGCTGCTGACTATATGTGGTTGAGTCTGCTTCCTGAACTAGGCCATCTAATCCCATTATCTGAGAACTACAACACACATGTAACTGTTTCTAGTGAGTGAAATTAAAGAGCAAACATTTTTCCCACAGGTGTGCCAGTCAATGACACAGAGTACAACACACACTCAGTCCGTGCATAGCAACCGGCAGTGATGTATATGCCATCTATAACAGTTGGACAGGCGGCCATAATATATTCATGACAGGGCACTGTACTGTTGTTTAGGTCATTAGGTGATTTATGACTGAATATGTATAGTATAATACTCACGTGATCCATACTGGATCATACTCAAATTGTCAAGGAAATTATTCTAATCTGTGATTATAAATTATTACAGCCAATTTATGCAGGGCCAGGCAAAGAACAGCTGTTCTATAGGTTGTACAGTTTACTCAGACATGCTAGATGCTTGAGAAAAGCTTGTAATAGTCTTTATCACAGCTCAATTGGATTACCTTTTCTCTGTCTTATCCTTTTTGACTTAAATCTGATTGCGACTAAAACCATTAGTCATGCTCTTTTAAAATGTTTAATTTCACGCCTTTGTCTCATTCAGCGGAATATTGATGAGTGCAGCAATCACTGCATGTCTCCTTTGTAGGCGAGACATTTCTCTACTTTCTCTTTGACCTCAGTGGGTTGTGTTGTGTGAGAAGCACAGAGTGAGTTGACAAGCAGCTTCGTCTTTGGGCCGATTTTTACCCCTCTCTTTCTCTGTGAGAAAAAACAACAACGCCACACTTCTGCAGCAAACATATATACCGCAAACATGGGTAAAAACGTACGGTAGAAAAAAAAAAAGCTTTTCAGAGATTACAGACAGATTTCCGTTTCCATTTCATGTTTAAATCGGAAAATGTTGGAGCACAATCAAACCTTGCTTATTAAAAACACAAATCCTGTACAGTGCTATCATAATGTATGATGCTCACTACTGACTTTTAGAATCGGGAGCCAACACTTGCTAAGCAACAATAACAAAAAACCCCCAATGAGGTTAGCAACACATGTCTCCTGCAGATTCAGTTGCTCTGTCCTCCCTTTGTGTCTTTACAAACCCGAAAATATTCACAGGGTTGATTATTTACCCATATGGAAAAGATATATCTTATAAAGTTTGTATCTGTCTTGTGTGAAACTTGTATTAAAAGCAAACAAGAGTGAAAACAGATATAAGATCCCTTGAAAAATTATATAAATGAAACTTACTATACTCTCTGTACTGCTTTCTACCTTTTCTGTCGCAGGGAGACCACTGAACCTAAACAGAAGCCACTTTCCCTGTCAATTCTTCTTATCAGGGTTTTAAAGGTTCACTACTTGGCATGCTGTTGAAGAAGCTGAGATAAAGCAACGTGAGGGGCCTGGACTGAGTTAGGTAGGACTCAGGAGAGTGGGGAGGGTCAATTTATTGTGGGCCTCTGAGTGCTCTTTAGACTCCTTATGACTGCTTGCCCCTGCAAGGAATGTGTTTTTTTTTAACTTGGTTGAGTAGTAATGCAGGATATTATAAACAACAAAAGAACAAGTTCAGCAGTTTGAGAGGATGCAAGCTCTGCAACTCTGAATTATACTGGAGGTCAGTAAAACTAAAGCCACCAGTGCAGTGAAACCTGTCAAAGGCTAACTAGAGTTTAATTGGCTAATTAGTGACAACCAACAAGAGATCTCACATGTGCTTAAATTATCTTTCAGGACGGGGGTGAAGGTGTTTACACTCTGCTTTAAATCTTACCTCTGCTCTCACATTGTGGTTCTCCTTATGGTCAGAGTGAGAGTCTCAAAGCACCACTGAAATGCTGTTAAATGTTGGCATACATACCTGCTTTATAGTGTCCTTTGAATTCAGAGCCTCTGGCAGTGGAGTCTGGGAGAAACAGAAAGACATACTTTATCCCCAGTGAACCGTTTCTCCATATCTAAAACCTCTAAAATAAAGAAAATAAATTGCTCGGGAGCAGCATTCCACAGGAACTAGCTGGGCTGGTTGTTGATGACAATCTTGTTGTAGCTAGTCTGAAAAAAACACAACCAAGCTGGACCATCGAGATAGAACGGAAAATTGTTTTCTTTTCTTTGGTATGAAGGTCACTACAGATGCATTATCTCAACCTGTGATGTGCCATTGTCTCCAACATGGTGTGGGTGGTTGTCAAGTGGGAGGAAAGAGTATTTAGACCTCGGCAACAGAAGGTACATGGTTAAACTCTGTGAATTTCGTTAAAGCAAATATTTGCTTTAAACAGCAGACTATCCTTTCATGTAAAACGTAATTGAACCTGAACATTTAAAGATTAATACTGAAGCAGCTGCCACAGGTAGACAATATTAATGTTTTTTCGTTACACTCTTGAAATGCTCACTTAAAAGAGTCAAATCATTGCTATCTCTAACGTCCTACCATGTAAAAATATTCAACATTCCCACGTTTGTACTTTGACCGAAGTCAGACTTCCCCTTTGTTGCTTAGATTTTATGTTTTTATGACCATCTTGTGGCTGGTGTTGTCTGTCTGTATTCCCAAGGTAATTGGGTTCAGTGTAACTAATTGAAAATATAAAGGACACACTACGTTTCAACTTGCCTCACAGTTCTAATAATGTACTAGTGTCACTTTAACACAAATCTCTCTCTTTCTACTGAATTGATGGATTGTAAGAGTTGTAACTAAACAAAAAAAGGTAAATATGCAGAGCACTCACGTGACATATAAGACACGTAAACAAACAGTAGCTGATGTGATTTTTCACATCGGTGATAGACATCGGTTTCTCTGCTTCTACTGCAGACACACTTTGTGGCATGTTTTATTTGGCCTGCTGTACAGGCAGCTACATCATGTGATATTAGCCCGAATGGACCACAATTTAGCTTTTAACCCAATTGCCACTGAATGGCAGTAACTCCATGAAACCTTATGCATAGCATAGCTAATTTATGAGCCAATCAAAGCAAATGTGCTTCGTAAGTTAAAAACATGTGGAGAACATTTCAATATCTGTTAGACAGACACACTTAGGAACCCTTATGTATGTGAGGTATTTTTTCTGCATTGTGTCCACGTGTCAGCACTGGTATGCAGGAGCAAGAAGTCCAGGAGGGATGCTGCAAATGATGACAGCAAAATGAGCTCAGCTGTGCTCTTATCTGCCTCATGTGCTCAGAGAAAGAATTAGCTTAACCTTCAGGGCTTATTACTAACAACACACGACAATGAATAGAAAGATTGGATATCACTCTACTGCCAAACAACTAAACAGCTTTGAGTAAAACCAAATACAGCATACAGGCTTGCTATTACCTGTTACAGAGTCAGATTCCACTAATGTGCTGGTATAGCACAAACAATATTTGAAATGCACAATGCGCAATGTGAATGCATGCATTTGTCAATTTTGCATTTAGGATGATTTAGCATGTTTTCAAGTTGTGTAATTTGTCAGCTGTAAGATATCCCTCGGTTTTATCCGGTTCAGCGATACTTCTGACGTTCAAAAAAAGATTGATACTTTTATCCTTCTAGATTAATTAAGCGGTTTGGGTGTTGTACATCATAGTGTTATGGTAAAAAAATCCAAAGCTGTTGCTGTTCATGCAGAACTTTTAACTAGTTCACAGAAGTATGACATTGATATTTGGCTGGTAAAAGCAGGCAGTTTGGGACACAGTCTCTGCACGTTATCTTTGGCCTCCTGATACTTACAAATCAGGTAAATTTAGAAGACTCTCAGCGCTGTTATGTGTCTTCCCGTGACCTGGAAACTAAAACCTCCCTCATTTTGCATTCTTCTACAAACTCTTCTGTAAACTGAGCAAGGGTGTTTCAGGGAACGTGAACAATAAACAATGCACTATTTATAACCCGGGGTAAATAATAATAATGAAATATGCTTTGTTACCTTCCTGTGTCACCACAGCCAACTGCTACAACAATAGAGGAACCTGCTTCAGTCTACTTGGAAGCGTTCCTGAATATCTACAAAATGCAGAGACTCCAGCTGATTTACATAGTAAAGGCTGAGCTAATTTTATTTATTGTGTATATGACTAAAACAGCTGCTTAAATGGATGACATTCCATCTATTTTCCCGGAATCAACTGATGATATGTTTTCAAAAACTAAGACAGTGGCAAGAAATGCCACCACAGTCAGCCACAACCAAAAGAGGAGGGTTCACACTCCTTGGTCTGTTTAATAGCCAAAACATCAACATTAATAACAATGAAAACAAGCTATAATAATAATTCAGAGGGAATTTTGAAAAGTTAGACTCATGAAAATGCTGATGTCAATTAATTTGCTCTAACTAACTAATTTGTAGGCTTGTTAGCTGCGATTGTTTCTGCTGTGGTTTCTATAATGAGGCTAGTATACTGAGAAAGTACAGCTGGGAAAACAAGTAAACAGAGCAGTAAAGGCAGCATAGTGACATCAAATAAACAGAGAAGTGCCACAAAACTGGGCTGTACTCAGTTACATGTACTGTTCACACAACCACACATTTTGCTCCCAGATCTTCAGGAATGTTCTGTCACTTTCCCATCTTTCCTATTTCAGCATCAAATCTCGAAGCTTACTTGCAACGTAAAGGATACTTTTAGGGCCTTTTAGGCAACATGTGTCAGACATTTAAGAGATACCAAATTATGATTACAGTCTTTTACCCTCGCAGTAGCTCTACCAGCAGTGATTTTATATGAACTAAAGCAAGAAAGCAAATGACATCTTGGGATCCCTATTTTGTGCCAACACCTCAAATTTATAAGCTTTTTATGTTATTTTATTTTTTCTTAATGAATGCTAAGCCCTTAAGTCGTGTTACTTTGGAAATGAACGGATCAATACAAAAAGATAGAGAATTGTGATGCCATCGTAGTCATCATTCTCATCTCTTCTTATCCGCATATTGTGACACCATGCAGTAAAAGCAATTCTTGCTTATGTTCCATAAAATATTCCGCAGTGGTTTCGCTTAAGTAAATGTATAAATATTAAAGAGGCATACCCAGCTGATGCCCCGTATTGTCTGTTTTTCCACCGAGCGGCGGTCCGGGAACACTTGGTAATTGTGAGTCCGAAAGAGATGCATCTTGTTTCGGATCAAAACAACCGACAAACAAGTTTCCCAGTCAGAAGATCTGCAGCTCGGCAGCTCTACACATTATTCACGGCACAGTAATCTGGATAGCCCCGTCTCACACTCATTACTGCACAGCGGCGACTCAACACGGCGACAATGTGAACTCATAACTCCGCATTTTGTCCTCCTAGTAATTCCAGGCAGGTCCTGCATCAAACTCAGATCTTGCTGCCTCATTGAGGTCGAGTCGTGTACTGTTCAGCCATCCCTCGCGGCACAGGCGCACTGTTGCTGCGTTGCGTGTGTGCGCACTTTGGCTTTTCAAAAGAAACTGCATCAGAGAGACTGCCTCTTCTGGCAGTTTTACCACCTAATTAAAAACGGTGTTTGACGTACTTATCTTGACCTCGTGTGTGTGCATGTGGAACCTTAACAATTTGTCCTTCTGTTAAAACACGTCAGCGAGTAGACACATATGATGTGTATATTTCAACTCAAATTCACTCTTGAAGGCTAGAGATGAAATTTTCAAAGATGTCAAACCTTACTCAAACAAGTCTTAGTCAAACAAGTAACTTGCTAAAAATGTGCACTCTTTCTGTAAAATAACTGGCTTATTTGTTACAAATTTGCATCATTTCTTGGCTGAACTGTTAAAAAAAAATGGGTGAATCCACACAAACATTGGGGTCAGGGGTATTAAAGGAGGTATAATGTTGCATGAAGGTACTATATAATAAAGTTTGTTTAGTACAGTAGTTCAGGAAAACACATAAGCTGCAGCACGTTGTATAGACCACACACTTATCAGGTTATCCAGCTGCCTGGCTCAACTGGGTCTGTAGGCAGAGATAAACTGCTTCAAGGGCAGAAAGTAATTTAGGTTTGAGGACAACACTTAATGCGTTTATGCAGTTCTAGTTCACAGGTGTTTTTCCTTTTGTGTTGAAGTGTTATGTCCTCATTAAAGCTTTATGAAATCATAAAATTCATAACAGGTGTTCAGTTTTGAATGGATTTTTCAATATTTCTTCCTGTGATTCAAACCTTACACCTGTAGTTCACACTTTTGGCTTTTTTGTGTTCGTTTATAGATGCAGGTGACTTACGTCCCCCAACTCTGGTGTACGCCGCCTTGGTGGAAAACTGCTATTTCTGACGTAGTTCTCCATCAAGAAAACACCTTGAACAAAATCTGTGTGAAGAAAAAAACAGCATAATAATTTTATTCTTTAACAGTCGAGAAAGTAAAATGGGAAGGTAGCGTTTTCCCTTGTCAGTTAATAGCAAAACAAGCAGATGTAAATTTGCGATGTCTTACATAAGGACAAGGAGACCCTTTTAAAAACTTAATTTCCCATGTTCTGTTATAACAGGATCATGTCTGTGTGCTGCAGGCTGGAAAAGTTATGCAAGAATTGTTTAAATCCCAGCTATTGTTCTAGTGCAGGGCAGCCCTTCCTGTACTGACCTCAGTGTCTGAGTCACTTTGCCAAACCTTTCCACAACACACACTGACCAGAGCATCCATGTTTTCCATGCTTGGCTGCAATTTGAGCTGTGTGTTCAAAC